GAACAATCAAATTGATTCATGAATATGGAATTTAATTAATTTGAATCAATGAATATAGAAAAAGAATAATGTATATACATTTAAACAAAGGGGGTGTAAGTGAACCAACATGAAATTTAATTAATTTGAATTAATAGATATAGAAAAATAATAATTTATATATATTTAAACAAATAGGGTGTATAAGAACCAAAATAGAATTTAATTAATTTGAATTAATGAATATAGAAAAAGAATACTTTATATATATTTAGACAAATATTATTATATCATAGATTAAATGAATAATATTGAAATTAAATAAATGTACATGAATTTGAATAATTTATCTCATTTTATAATAATTGAAAAGCTCCCAAATTATATGATTTTTAATAATTTACATACTCCTAGAATAATTTATGATAAAATGAATACTCTTGAAAATAAATGCGTGAATAATTTCGATTCCGTCAATTGCATCCGAGTCGGGTAGAAATTCTAATGCATAACTAAACACGCTTTTCGAATTGTGTGGATTATAAATATCTACAATTATTTAGCCGCGCGCTTTTTTCTTCCCAGCTAGGTCTTCGTTTTTCACTGATAACTGATAGGAAACCCAAAATCAAATCAAAAACTCCCAAAAATCTCCATAGGCAAAAACCACGTAAGCCTCCAACTAACGTACTCGTTTCGTTGAATTCTTTTATTTATCATCGAAGAAATTAACTTTTCCGTGGATATTTTAAAGTTCATATTTTGGACTTCCAGAATTACGCCAAAGGTTTTTAATTGTGTGTTTAATGTGAGCTGCTAATGGATTTTTAGAGGAGAAATTGGAGAAATGTTGAGTTTCATTAACAGTTGGATTATTAACGCTCAGCAGATCGTTCTCCCAGTTCTTTGCAAGTAAAATGAACTAAAAATTAGAACCTGTTATTGGTTTGGGGTGGTTCAACATAGCGAAAGTAGTTTTCTTTTGATGTATTAGAAAGGCATAAAAACAGAATTGGGCATCAGTGTGAAACTAGGTCCTATCCGTGCAGTTTGTTTATATCTGTAACATGCCTCTGACTGGGGTTGTGTTGTCTATTTTTATTTCAGATAAGCTAATTCAAGCTTTTCTTTTCTTTTTTTCGGTGTTTAAGTTTGTTTATATTGCACGTATATTTTTTAGCTATGGCTTGGTTTACATCTGGGAATTTTTGGTTTATTACATTGATAACGAACATACATGCAGGCTTGTAGTGGATCTGCAGTTATGGGTTCTATTCAACAGCCAGTTTGGACCAAAGGATCGGTTTTTCCTTTAAAAGGGCTTGGTGTTGGTGGATGCTCAAACCATGTTAAATTTATTTCAGTTAAACCCTGCCGTTCGTCTCAACTTGAAGGGAATTTAGTCAGTGGGAGGCCACCCACTTCTGTGATTGTTCCTGTGCCTGAAATTGGAGGTAGTGATCATTCTGAGTTTATGTAGTAACTTGTTTACAGGCCACAGAACTGTGGATTATAATGAATGATATCTGCTATATATTTGGAAATTTAATTGCTAGTTTGGAGTATGCCAGTTTGCTTGAGTATGTGCGAGCCATCTGCTTCAGGATGCTCATGCGCTTGTGTGTGGATATGTCTATCTTTTGTTTATTTCCTTTACTCTTAAACATGTGTTCTTTCTGCTTGAAGTTCTGCATATTATTCTGGTAGGATAAATGGAGAAAATGACCATGTTTCTTGTGTTCATGTTGCTTGAAAACTGAAATTTGACGATCCTTTTTTTTAGCTGAGACAAACTGCAGCACTGTAGGGATCTACTTCATAATGTACCAATGGCATAAGCACCTTATTATTGGCTTCCTAGTTTAAATTGTCCTTAATTATTAGTTTCTAGTTAACTTTATTACTTGGTAGAATCAGAACTATAGCCTTATTAAATATAAGTCTCTGTTTTAATGTGTATTCACTTCTATTAAATCTTATAATCTTATTCAAGGCAGTTGGATTTCATTTAAAACCTAAAGCTTTGTCTTGAATCTAAGCGTGTTCATTTCTGTTTCTTCCACCTGTGTCAAATTACTTCTATGAAGTTTCTTAGGGAAGATTGCTAAATTTGGATTCTAAAACTTTCATTAAAAAACTTTAACCGTTCAACTCTATTTCTTTCCTACACCGTCAAAGTCTATCTTTGACTGACAGTAAATTTGATTCTTCATCGCTGGGATTCATTTGATTTTGTAGTTGCAGTACTTATTCACTGGTGTGAATTTGAATAATTAGGTGCTGGGAGTAGCTTTGCAGACGATAACTTGAGTGAATCTGATCCTGAGGTTCGTACCATTATTGACAAAGAGAAGAATCGCCAATTTAGAAGCTTGGAACTTATTGCTTCGGAGAATTTCACATCTCGAGCAGTGATGGAAGCAGTCGGTTCTTGTTTAACTAATAAATACTCTGAAGGGCTACCAGGCAAAAGGTAAGCTGTGTGTATTTATATTAGGAGGGAGGGGCATACAGATGGAGAAAGAAGCAATTTTACACTATCTTGAATTTATCATTATCTATGGGTGAAAAATTCTATTTGTTCAGGTACTATGGTGGCAATGAGTACATTGATGAACTTGAAGTTCTTTGTCAAAAGAGGGCTCTTGCAGCATTTAGTTTGGATGCAAAGAAATGGGGTGTAAATGTTCAGCCATTATCTGGTTCTCCAGCTAATTTTGAAGTTTACACTGCAATTCTTAATCCACATGACCGCATAATGGTAAGTTGTATGCTGTCTGTAGCCATTTTAATCAATGTATTGTAATACCTAGATTTATATCATTATATGTACTCGTGTATTTTTAATTCACTTCAGGGGTTGGATTTACCTCATGGGGGACATTTATCCCATGGGTTCATGACTCCTAAGAGAAGGGTGTCAGGCACATCTATTTATTTCGAATCCATGCCCTATCGGCTTGATGAATCTACAGGTCTGCATCTCTGGTATGAATCAGGTTGCAGTGCTGATTCATAGATAAAACATAGTCGTTGATTTTAAATTTTTTCAAATAGGCCTTGTGGACTACGATATGCTTGAGAAAACAGCTACTCTCTTTCGACCAAAACTTATTATTGCTGGTGCTAGTGCTTATCCTCGGGATTTTGACTATCCACGCATGAGAAAGGTACATTCATATACTAATTTATATCATCGTCATTTGATTATAGAAATTTTTTTCCTTCGTTTGGTCTTGGTCAGTTTCAGCATCTAATTGTTTGTTTTTAATATGCCTTTTAGATAGCAGATGCTGTTGGTGCTTTTCTCATGATGGATATGGCTCACATTAGTGGACTTGTTTCTGCTGCTGTTGCTGCTAATCCTTTTGAGTATTGTGACATTGTCACAACCACAACACACAAGGTAGGTCTTGATTCTTGAACGGTGATATGAACCAAGGAGTTCCAAATCTTTTTATGTGCTTTCATAAAGTTTCTATCATATGAAACTTGGAATAGTTATGAGTTAATTCGACTTTTCAAATTATCAAGGTAACAGCCTTCTCTGTAGTTGCTATACATCATGTGAACTAATAACCAACTCGTAACTTTGTACTTATCTGGATCTGAAGAACCTTTCAAGATGTGCTGGCCATATCTCTGTACGACTGTACCAATTATTTTTTAATCCTTCCATTTAAAACATTCAGCTCCCAAATGAAAAAAAGGGACACCAGCACAGGTGATGAAAGAACAAATATTGTAGCATTTTATTTCCAATTAGAAAGAGCCGGAGAATCTTTTTAGTTGTGAATCTGCTATAGAACCAATTGGAATATGTACGTTGAGAATTTTGGAGCAATATTATACGTTTCATTAGCCGATCTTCTTGTTTGGTAGCGTACACTGTACAGTTGACTGTATGGTACAAACTTGGGACTGAGCAGCTTGCCTGCTTCAACTATGCTTACTTTATGCATATATTCTATGTTAGACAGCTATTGATATGTGGTCCCAGTAGAATTGTACTTCAGTGCATTATATAACTTGGACATATTTCTTCAGTCTCTCAGGGGTCCTAGAGGCGGCATGATCTTTTTCAGGAAGGATCCTGTTCTGGGAGTTGATCTAGAATCTGCCATTAACAATGCTGTTTTCCCAGGTTTACAGGTTTGTAAATTCCCTTCTTTGATGTTTATTATACTGATGAATATGATCTATATATTCACGTTTTCAGCCTAGAAATTAGAAAAATATGCTGAATCTGAAATTAATTTTTTTGGCTATTATCTCAAACAGGGAGGTCCACATAACCACACAATCGGTGGACTCGCTGTTTGTTTGAAAAATGCAAAATCACCGGAGTTCAAGGCTTATCAAAACAAGGTAAAAGTTGCCTTATTTTGGTTAATGCACAACCCCCGTATAACTCCATATGTGACACCATTATTTCATCTCTCAGGTGGTCTCTAATTGTAGAGCTCTTGCAAGCCGCTTGATGGAATTGGGATACAAACTGGTCTCGGGAGGCAGCGATAACCATTTAGTTCTTGTGGACCTACGGCCCTTGGTGAGTTTCTGGTTTCTATTTCCCAGTTATACACTTAAAAACTTGTAAAAGTGTCATATATTATATATCAATCAACCTTTGCCTGTTTCATAGGGAATCGATGGTGCCAGAGTGGAGAAAATTCTTGATATGGCATCCATCACCCTCAACAAAAATTCAGTACCTGGTGAGTTCTATGTGGCTTTGATGTCATAGATGCCTAAAGTTGGAAGTGATTATGGTGCACAACTGTCGTATTTACATTGTTCATGTCGAACTTAAAGGTGATAAAAGTGCACTGGTACCTGGTGGAATACGCATAGGATCACCTGCTATGACTACCAGAGGTTTCCGTGAAGATGAGTTCGTCTCAGTTGCAGACTTCATTCACGAGGGTGTGCAAATTACTCTAGAAGCTAAGAAGTCTGTCTCGGGCTCTAAGGTCCAAGATTTTATGAAATTTGTGACATCCCCAGACTTCCCATTGATTGACCGTGTGTTGGATCTGCAAAGAAGAGTCGAGGCATTTACAACCCGATTCCCATTACCTGGCTTGTAACTCTCATATTTTAAGCAAATTTGTTGCAATCTGTTGGATAATAGGCTCCCATATCTTCTTAATGCAAGTTGGAAATCGGCTTTATGTGAGTCGGAACATTTGACAAGTTTCAACATTGGGTTTGGTTACATGTAATATGTAATCAGGATCTCTATCTGAATATGTTGTGAGAAAAAAATTAAAAACTTGCAGCATTTTTTATGTTGGCAGAAACTATTTCCCAATGTCTTCACTTACCCTCCTTGAACGAAATCTTGTATAACATGTTTGTACATGTTAGTGGGACAATATAACTAAAAAGATTTTAGCTTTTTTCTTCTTGAACTTGAACACTACCAAACAAGCAAGTATTGTAAAATCTAAGCATGCTTTCACATTATTGAAAATTCATCGTGAAGGCCATCAAGTTCCCCTCTAAGATTGTGTTGCTGAATAATCAAAACAGAGGCTGTTGTCGAGTAATCAGAAGCCGAAAGGATGTCTCCTATGGGGCCAAGCTCTGGGCACTCCTCCCAATCGTTCATCCCTACCGTTAAAACTGAGTTGACTCTTCCGCCTCGACCTACAATGATAAGTCCATATTGCCCTTCAAGCGACCTTAGTGTTGAAAATGTCTGGCCAGAATTAACAAGGTACTTTTCCATGTAAGCTACATGTCCTCCAGCCACATGCCTGTCATAAAACTCAGCAAAGCATTCATCGTCAAGTTTCATCTCCTCTTGGTACTCAGTTGTATTAGCCTTTGCTATAGTGATTCTTGATGAAACGCTATCTCCACAGGCCTCCAAAAGGAACCTTATGACTGTCAACTTCACTCCAGGATGGCATGCTACACGTCCAGCATAGGCAAGAGCCTCCCGGTCGTCTTTCCCACCAATGAAAATAACTGCTGCATAGAGGGAGATTGTGGTTCTTGATATGGTTATTGTTCCAAAACCCCGGTCAACTAATATTCCTACCGAGCACGGGGCATTGCGAAGAACCTGTTGAACGACAACAACAAAGATGTAACCATTAAGGTATGATTGTTCTGTTCCTCCGATTTCCATCATTATATACATTCTAAACATGATTATATACAGCATTCGATCATGTATGTTCGGAAAGATGGATTAAATAGTAATGGACAAAATTACCGTCTAACAATCTAATATTGCGAACTTCATTATATCCATACCTTGCGATTAACATGTCGAAACCCTGGAAGGCCGAAATTAAGTCTACCCCCTTCTTCCTGTTGTTTGTGAAATGGCAATACTATTAAGGAAACCATAAGATCCTCAGCTAAAATACAGATATCTTGCTGCATGCTGTTCATAGTGGAAAGAGCAAGCATTCGCTTAATATTAATTCCATCTCCGTCCTTACTCAGGTAATCATTAACTGCATTTGTTATTTGCTCTCTCATTCCAACAACAGTTGGATCAGTCACAGTCAAGCCATCCACACCGTCACTATGTGTTAATGTAACAGCTATCCTATCTGTTAATTCTATCACGTCAGTCAGAAAAACCATGACACCGGGGTCGGCTAGCCCTCGAGAAATCTCAATGAAATTTGTAACTGACGAAACACTTTGTGACCCATGTATGCAGAGTAGAATCCGGAGCTCATTTGCTGGACTGTGCCATTGAAGTGCCATTCTTTGAGTAGGCGAACGCTTCCTGGCACGGTCAATGATGTTTGTGACGACATATGGCAAGTAGACAATGGTAAGCAAGGTTACAAATACCATGGAAATGCTCGTGGAAATACTTGAAAGCTTCATCTGCATTTGACCAAGAAAATTTCAGAAACGATTAGTTTGAGAGCTTGCTGATATTATGGTGCCAAGTTGTGTCGGTACTGCGTACCGAACACGAGCTGAGAGGCTTACATTCGAGGCAATTATAGCCAGGTAGACCTGGAAATGACCCTTGATGTTGAGCAGCAACCCAATTTCGATTGATTCTTGCCAATGAAAACCTAACATCATCCCAGAAACCACAGATCCAAGAACCTTTCCAATAGTGGCAATCAAGTAAAGGAAAAATAATTTTGCCCATGTTCCTATATGGCCAGCCCCAAACTGAGACAATGGAGCTTCTGTGCCTACCCAGAAGAAGAAAAGTGGATAGAAAATAGTGGCAAAGAAATAGTTCACTTTACCGATTATCATTTTTGCTATTCTTCCTTCTCTAGGCATAAACAATCCAGCCAAGAATGCACTCAATACACTATTATAATCCCCCAAAACGGGCGAAAAGCAACAAATCATAACAACAAATGCCACTGAAACAACTAAATGTGAACCTTTCATGGATTTTCCATCAGGATTTTCGCGATTCACCCAATTCATTAGCAGGGGAGTCACCTTGGCTGCTAATACTGTTTCAATCACAATAAGTGAAGTCATTCTTAGAATGTTCTTCGAGTACCTATAATAGAAATTGTTAAAGGGATCAAAGATTATAAACCCAATGCAGATCAGGAGTGTTGATACTAAGTCACTGTGTACTCCAGCAGATACAACAAAACGCCCAATATCTGACTTCCCAATCTTGAGATCAGTTATCAGGCGAGCTAGCAATGGAGAAGCCGTCCCAGAGAGGATAACAGCAAGACAGATATTGAACGCAACATTTTGAGTTTCAGGGAAATTCAAGAATGGAGTTAGTAAACAACCTATAACAAACGTCGTGAGAACCCCTGAACACGCCACTTTCGCTTCCCGTGGAGGTATCTGAAGAAAAATGTGTGGATCTATTTCTAGGCCTACTACAAACATATGGCAAATCATCCCACCTTCTACTATATATGTTAGGGTTTTCTGTATCTCACCACCATTTGTTTGTTTACGTATGAATGGCATATTGCTTAGAAACAGACCTACCTGCATGGAGTCAATAGTAATCAACATGAGATTCTCATATATTCAAAATGTCAGTCGATGGCACGTTACATGCACATGCACGTGTGTTTAAGAAAAGTGATTTACAATGGATTCGGAAATTATTCTGGGTTGAGACATGGGGCGCAAGAAAATGTGCAAGAAGTTGCATAAGAACACAAGGAAGAAGAATCCCAGCATGTACACTGCAATGGATGCCAATTTGTAGGAAATCTGAGTGGTGCATCTGGCTTCCATATTCTTGAAATCTGTGTAGTTTCTGTTCAGGAATTCCATTCTTTCTTCTTCTTTTTGCAATCTGATAAAAACTATAATGATTTATAGTTTCTAAATTTACAAAATGTTGAAGATTCTCTTTGAGTAAGAATTAAAATGCAGAAGAGAGAGTATTCTCTGAGGTTTCTCATATCTCATTTTTAACTTCATGCGTGGAATCAGGTGTTTATGTGGTTCTTACTTTCCTTCAGATTTCATGTCCTGATTAATAGCGGCAACAATGAATAAGTTTACTGTTGAATTGCATGTTAACTTTTCAAATTTTATCACGTAATATAATTCTCCATAATCAAAGTGGTACTATTTGGTGACAATAAAATTTGCCCAATTCGTTTTTCATCCATGCAACTTTTGTGAATTGCAATTTGGTTCCTAAACTTTTCAAATATTGCAATTAAGTCTTAAATTTCTTTAAATCCTAAAGTGATATATTGCAAGTTCGTCATTTCCTCAAATGATTCATATATCTTATTTTCCAATATTCTCACTTCGGTCCCTCAAGAATGAAAAGAATTCAAGTTTCTCAAAATTTGCATGTATGCCACTCATAAAAGTTCGTGAAATTGCACTACAGGTTTCTGGTGATCGAGATATCCTATATGATTGTAATAATTTTTTACATAACAGTATGTATTTTTCTCCAATTTTAATCTTTTTCTGTATTGTTAAAACATGGAATCTGTCTCGATTAGCCGAAAAAAGACGTCGAATAACATGGAAAATTTTGATAGTAAAATCTATTGTAACTTTGTGTGAAATACAAATCAATGATGTAGACTAACAAATTCATTTCATTTCCATACAAATTCTATGCTCACCCTTAATAAAATTTATAACTAAAAAATTACGAGTCCAGTTAATATTAGTTTAAATCAAATATTTACTGACTCGAGATTAATTTATACAGTAAACATGAACTTAATTTAATAGTGACTTAATTTTAAGTGATTATACTCTCCGTGACAATTTCTCTTTAGGATATCGTAAGTAAAAGTTTATCAATTTTTCTCGAATATCGTTGTAGGAGAGGACAAAATTTTGGCTGAGTCATTTTTGTCCAAGTGAAGATTGTTGGAATAATTGCCCAAACGGAAGGGGTAAATGTTCTCTTCTTCTTTAAAGGAAAAGATGCCAAAAGCTGGAAAGTAATGAATTGTTGAGTATTACTCACATATGGTAGAGGGTATGAGCATTATATTCTATATACTTACAATAATTTTCCATACACCAGAATGGTAAGGACATAAACTTGATGCTTTCTTTCAATTTGGCCTAAAAAATCCCACCTCAGGTAACATTTCCAGAATTACTTCTCTGTTTTCAAAAGTCCAAAGATCCGTTTGATCGACAGAGATGCAAAGACTATCCAATTACATGTAAGAATTCAAGTACCCATAAGAATGCATTTTTCGGCAAAAAAGCTTAAGATGTTTACTTTAAAATTCGAATTTCATTTCCACTTTGACTTTCGTATCAAAGTGACGGCTGAAATTGAATTTATGGGACATTTTCCATAGAATTTAACAACCAACAATCCAAGTAAGCAGCCACCAACAAAAGCAATTAGGCATTTTTTTACCATACTCTCAGATTCCATCAATTTATAAGTAAAAATGAAGTTTAAACAACAGCTACTTATCATCAATAAAAAAAAAGATTCGACTTTGAAATATTTGAAGCAGAAAAACTTGGATGCTCAGAAGCCAAGCGTAACGAATAGATTTCACTGAAGAACCCAACACAAAGTTGGGCCTCCTTACATGTTAGCTTTCTCATCAACGCATCAATTTTTTCACACTGAAATAAATCAGAAATTCAACTTATAAAGAGTGCTAATGGATCCCAGAATTCACCACGTGTAATTATTCCTTTTGAAATTCCATTTTCCAAAGAACAAATAATTAGGAAATTAAAATATTGCTACTATGAATTTGAAGGAAAGCAAAGAGAAATCTGGCCTCCTACAATCGTGATAAGTAGCTCTCTCTATAGGCACCGTGCAAAAGTCAGCTTGTCATTGAATTTATAGACGAAGCCACCGTATCTGAAAAAAAATGCCATCTCCCGGAAGAAAATTACATTAGAAAATGTGCCCAGTTTATTGTATCATGAAACAACCAAAATGGGTTTCATGGATCTTCAAACCAGCACAATTTATATAGGCTCTACGCGGCAGACGGGTTGCCATCGAAAGGGCACCTGCTGCTGACTCATAAACAGAGCCGATACAAATCTATCTAGAATCCGATTGCTCCAGAGAAAAAGTGAAAACATAATTCATCGAAAACCAATCGTACTAACAAAGTAGTATATAACCAAATCCAAAGATGGGGCTTAAACTTTTACAGCCATTAGGGTAAAACAGGGGATGTTTAATGGGGGCGGCCATGGATTGTGTAGATCGTAGATGGGCGAAATATATATAGCAGTGGTGACACCCTCAAAACCCTAAAATAGGGAACTTTATTAACTGTGAAGGACAGGGATTAGGGTTTATTACAAATGAAGCCAATGACTAATTTGTGTTATTCTTTTCTTACTTTTATTTTTTCCCTCCAGTTAAAAATATCGGAAAAAAAAAAGGCTCGCCTTTAAACTTTCAATTAGGGCCCGTTTGATTGCAAATGTGAAAAATGGGTGGAAAAAAAAAGAATTCCAGAAAAAATAATTGTTTAGAACTTGTTTTACAAGGAATTGTTAATGAAATGTGTTTGATTGATATAATTTTTCACTCGAAAATTTTTAAAATTTTTGGATCTTTTTGTTCTTCTAATTGAGTTGCAAGTGACTTAGATAACTTTAAAGCAGATTTTCAATTTGATTCCGTTGATAACTTTTATCTTCTTAACAAAATATGAAGTCCAATTCATTTTGCATTTTCGTTGTATAGAATTAAAATAATATGAACACTAAACCTCATTTTTGTAGAAATTATTTTATTTTCTTAAAGTATATGAACATTAACAAGAACAAGTGAGAAAATAATTTTTACTTTACTTGGGTAGAAATGAATCACCCTAAAATACGATGAATATTAGTATGAACAGAAGCGAAATGTTGCGCCACCGTTTGGCTAATTTATAAATGATCAAATTTTATATTCAACCACACATTGCAATGACCCTACAAATACTCTCTACTTATTCATCACTTATTTTTATTTATTTATAAATTAAACTGCATATGAATTCTTCTGAAATGGAGGCTTAATTTCTTACAATAATAAGAATGTAAATGTGATCACAAAACAATATAAATTTACACAATCTTTGCAAAGAAAAAATGTTAGGATTTTGACTTCAAATTGTCCTATTTAAAATATGATTGCAAGGTTGAAAAATAGAGGGAAAGAAAATGAATTGTAGGGAAAGTAATTGCTTAAAAATTGTTTTGTAGGGAATTGTTAATTAAGTGTGTTTGATTGTTATAATTTTCCACCCGAAAAATTTTTAATTTTGCATTCGTTTGGCTTTATTTTACATGGAAATTGTCCATTAAAGTGATAATTTTTTCCACAATTGGTTATAAAATTTGTTTCCATTGCTAAAAAGTTAAGAAAAAAAAAATCCTAAAAATCATTTTTTATCAAAGTTTAGTGTTTGTTTGACTTTGTTTTACATGAAAATTGTCCATTAAAGTGAATTTTTTTTTACAATTAGTTATAAAATTTGTTCCAATTGTCAAAAAAAACCTGAAATTCCAATTTCCCATCAATTCAAATGTGCACGTGGGAGCCATTTTGGAAAAACCAATTCCATGGTAAATTTATGGTATCAAATATGGCAAAAGTTGGAAAATAGAATTTCCATGGAAAATTTTTGATTTCAAACAGGGCCTTAGTGTAATTTTAGATGTTAATTTTGGTAAGTGAAGTTTTGAGTTTTCAAGCTATTTAGAACCCTATTTGGTGGAAATTAAAATCGGATTTTTAATAGATTTTGAAAAATGTTTATGAAATGTGTGGTTGAAAAATTTTTGAACCTATGAAATATGTAATTAAAATTAGTTCATACCAAATAGGGGGCTAAATATAATAATCTTAATCCCCACGTTGGCAAAACCAATATGGAGTTTTACTGTTGTCATATTCGATTTTAACATCAAAATCAATGGTTTGTGTTACTTAAAAATTCAAATCATATATATGAAATAAGAAAGGGACTAGAACCTCACTTTTAAAAGTTAGGATCCCAGAACATTCTACTTAAAATGTTGGGGAGTTCAACCTAATTTTTCGCAAGAAATATAAAAGAAAATTCATATTTCATTCTCAATGACTCAATCTTTCAAAAAAAATATAAGATAAACCCCCAACCTTTAGGAAAATAGGTAGACTAGGTCTTTTTACACCGTTTCCCTTCACTTCGACCGTTAGTATCCCGTAAAATGGCATTAACGATGAATAAATTGGATTCGGGATCCCAAATCTTTAAGACGTCTCATTCACAAGCATTAACCAAAAAATCTAATAATCACCAACAAAATTAGAGAAAAGATGTCTTGTCTCGTCGTTATGGTGGTTGGAGTGGGATCGTGGTATGGAATGGGCGGCAGCGGTACTAGTGGAGGTCGAGGAAGTCAAAAAATCTAATAATCACCAACAAAATTAGAGAAAAGATGTCTTGTCTCGTCGTTATGGTGGTTGGAGTGGGAGCGTGGTATGGAATGGGCGGCAGCGGGACTAGTGGAGGTCGAGGAAGTTGAAGCTTTTTTTTACTGTATTTTATTTTTTCATACTTTTCTAACTTTTTATATATTTTTTTCTCTATTTTAATCACTCTTAATTGTTTTAAGTGGGACCCCTAGAGCAATTTATCCATCTATGCTTATTTCCCATAAGGCTGGGAATGGATTGTACTTACATAAAAGTCTGGGGGCATAACTAAACTTTTTGGAAGGTTGACAAGAAATATGAAAATTTTCCTATGTTTAATAAGCACTTTACTTTATGTAATATTGGAGTGGAGGTTTCCTTGGCATTCTCACTTTCATACTCTTAGCTGGACACACTTTATGCAATGAAAACCAAGATTTGAAAAAGAATATGAGTAAGGTACCAATGGTGTTAAGACACAAATTTATATGACATTATTTGATATGTTCAATTAAAATTATGTTATTCATTTAACTGAACATATAATTTGATATTAGAAATTAACATGTGTAACCTTGAGGGTTGATCAGTTGGTCAAACCTTGTGTTTGCTCCCCAATGGTCACCAGTTCGAGTTTCCTCAAAACCATTGAGGTGAGTATCTAGTAGTAAACTTCAGGACCCAGCGGAATTAGTCGATATACACGCAAGTTGGTCCGAACATCCACGGTTATTAAATAAAAGTAATTAACGTGTGAGAGTGTATTTGATGCACATTTTTTAGAAGAGAATGTATTTATTTTTGTGATGTGATGGTGAATATGTGGTTGCAAAGGAAGGAAAAATTATTGATATGATGAACAATATTATTTTATTAAAAAATGTGTGATTGAAAATGAATATAAAAATGAAAACGAAAATAAGAATGTGGGTCAAAATATGGTTGAAATTGTTAACTCCGTCCTGAACATCGTTCTCAAAAAACTAAAGTTAGGTTTGGACCGTTTGGTATACCGGCCTCCATTTCTGAAAGTTGAACCCGTCACCATGTTGACCCAGCTCTTTTTATTATTTTATTATTTCTTTAAATTCTACTTTTCGTCTCCAAATAAAAAATCTTGTAAGATCTCTGAGAAATTGTCATATTAAAATATTCCCTCGAGCACCCATTTTCTAGGATTCTTGATCTTTACACCAGCACACGTATTTTTACACAGATTATTTGTATATATAAACTGGGTTGTTGAAATTTCTGGGAAATGGAGGCAGCGACGAGCCATCGGATTCTTCCACAACTGAATGTTCGGAGTTTGAACCATAATTCTACGTCGTGAGCTACTTCTTTATGTGTATTCCTATATGGGTTTTCTTATATGTTTGTTGACTTTCATTATCATTTCTCGAGGGTTTACGGTTTTCTTTGTGGGTGAGTTTACGCGTGGATCAAGTGCAAAAAAAGGTTATTTTTACATTTAAAATGGACGATCGTGGTTAATTTAATGGGTTTAAGGAATAAAAACAAAATTTTGTTTCAATTCTGGGATTTGTAGAATGTTTACCTTTTCTCTTTGCAATTAAAATTGGAAGACCGAGAATGACGTTGATTCAAAATTAAAGAATATAAATTTTTCAAATGATAATCGATTCAATATATGTACAAGTATATTTTTGCAATTTCATGTATTTTGGTGTGGTTAAATATTTTTAGATATGAAAATTTATTATTCTGTAATATTTTGTATTTACAGGCTTTGCTCTCAGGCTAGATTGCCATCGACTTTCTGCAATACAACCAAAGTTTCCTTGGCTTTAAATTCTAATTCAAATGATAAAAAGATTGGTGTTGATGGAGGATTGTCTCTCAGTTGTCAATCACAGAGGAAAGAATTTATTGGGAAAACATTTTGCTCAGTCAGTACGGGTATGTACCCAGGGATCAGCATTGAATCTGATTCACACATCACAGAGGAAAAGATTGGAGTTTTGCTTTTAAATCTTGGAGGGCCTGAAACCCTTAATGATGTTCAGCCGTTCTTGTTCAATTTATTTGCTGATCCTGTATGTATTACATTAACGTGAGAAATTCAAGTATTGGGTTAGATCATTTGCAAATTGGTGACATTTTTTAATCCTCTGTCACAGGATATTATACGTCTGCCTAGGTTGTTCCGGTTCCTCCAACAACCTTTGGCACAGCTTATTTCAGTACTCCGGGCTCCCAAAAGTAAGGAAGGCTATGCTGCCATTGGAGGTGGCTCACCTTTGCGTAAAATTACAGATGAGCAGGTATTGAGATCGCTACAAAACTTTTTGGTCCTTTCCCAAGTCAACAGGTTGTATTTTATGATCTTGTTGCTATCTTCTAGCATTTACAGTCTCTTTTTCTACATTGCAGGCAAATGCATTAAGATTGGCACTGGAAACGAAGGAAGTTCCTGCGAATGTCTATGTTGCAATGAGATATTGGCACCCATTCACCGAGGAAGCTGTTTGCCAGGTATGTTATAGGAATTGTGACAAATTATGCTTTTACACGTGAGCATTCTTGATTTATATCTCTTCAAAAGGAAGGTTACTACATGGAGTTTAGTTTTATGAACTCAGAGATTGTATTTTGCCTAAAACCTTTGGAAGGATGTCCATTTGCGCTCAAACAATGGAAGTCTCCACATCATTTTTAGAAAATGGGATAAATGGAATAGGGGGAGGAGAATTTGAATTTCTAAGAATACCTCACAGAAAAAGATAATAATTTCTTGTTTTTCGTGCATAATACCTCCAAATTTAGAGAATACTTCATTTACAGTTTACAGTCTTTCTTCCCAATCTTATAATTCCCAGAAATTCAGTTCAAACGAATAACTGGAAAATTCTATTTCCCCTGCTTGTTCTTTCTACCATTTTTCTTGAAAACGGTCAACGTTGAACGTATGTGGAACGTTTTTATGAACTACTTTATAAGTGCTGTAAAAGTAATATTTAAATACGTGTGAATGTTAATTAATTTACAATTAATACCAGGGAATATATACAAGACAATGATGTTAAATCATTTATTTAATTTCGAATTAAGTAAAACTGGATGTTAATTAGCACTCATGGACGTGAATAATTAAAGGTATTTTTTAATGTAAAATTCTAATTAACTTATAATTATAATTAATAACACTGAAATGCGTAAATGAAGATAAACATTTATTCAATGAATGTGAATGTTATTTAATTGAGAATCAATAATAGGAAATTTATATATTAATGAAAGCACATAGATGAAATATTAATGAAAGTACATANTGTTAATTAATGGAGAAATAATAACAAAAAATTAATACGTATTTATTATATATTGAAAACCGAAAATGTATTATTGAAATAATTGAATTGTAATATGATTAAAATAGAACAAAAAAATTATTCTCATTTGATGTGATATTTAATATATAGAATAGATGAAGGGAGCCTAAGGCAAAATGGATAGCTGAATAGTCTTAAGCTATTGGCTTTCTTCTCCATTTTGGTGACCAAACAAAGATTTGGCTTCTCCATGCTGCCTATTCATCATAACCAACTCACTGTTGCTATAATACCTGTTGAATGTATTGTGCAAAGGCATTTTTTTTTTGAGTTGCAGGTGCAAAAACTATCTTCCTTTCACAAATAATCAGATTTCAGATGTTAGTTCATCTTTCAAACATGAACTTCTCTGTTTTCTAATTATGTATTTCTCTTTCTGTGGTCTGTGTTAATTTCATCTCATTGTTCTTTTAATTCAGCATAGCATTTGAGCATCTTGAGATCAGTGGAATCAATTCATATTATTTTCCCTATTTTCTGTGATAGATTAAGAGAGATAGGATTACAAAGCTTGTAGTATTGCCACTCTACCCTCAATATTCTATTTCAACAACTGGGTCAAGCGTTCGCATTCTTCAAGACATGTTTAGGTAATATATTGTAGCAGTCTGTAATTCCATTAACTGCATGGACTTGCAGTTCATTATTATTTTCATCTTTCACTAACATACTGAATCGGGTTATTTTATCAGGGATGACTCATATTTGTCACGGTTACCTGTTGCTATTATACAGTCATGGTATCAACGAGAAGGTTACATCAAGTCTATGGCTGACTTGATTGAAAGGGAGTTACAAATTTTCCCAAATCCAGAGGAGGTGGGTTGAATTCCTAATTTGAAGTGTTTAAGTTGACATTTAGAAAATATTTGTTATATAGTTACTGCAATTGCTTAATGCTGAGTTCTTCTGCGGTCTCTTAGGCCATGATTTTCTTCAGTGCTCATGGAGTACCGGTAAGTTATGTTGAGGATGCAGGTGATCCATACAAAGATCAGATGGAAGAATGCATATTTTTAATAATGAAAGAGCTGAAATCAAGAGGAACTAACAATGAGCATACTTTGGCTTACCAGGTTGGTTGTATTGTTTATACTTCCAAATTTTAGATTTCTATATTTGCAGTTTTCGTAATTATTGACACATCATGAAGAGCAATCGACTGACTGTTCTATACTGGCTGCCCTCTTGCAAGATTCACTGGTGGTTAAAATAACTTCACATAATATACTAATACCTAATTTCTTTGGAGTCAGTAACTTCCCATCCTGGTTATTGTGGGCGAGTGAAAATCAATGTGTATACAAAAGGAAATGACAAAGAAAACCTATTCTGATATCCAACTGACGTGATGTTGATTTTAATTAATTTCTTACTTGTATGTTCCAGAGCCGGGTGGGTCCTGTACAATGGCTAAAACCATATACTGATGAAGTTCTTGTTGAGCTTGGCCAGAAAGGTGTAAAGTCTCTACTGGCTGTTCCAGTGAGGTATGTTTTGAGAATAACTGTTTTCCTGTCTCAGGCTTTTGATGATGTTTATTCTGAATTTTCTCTTGCCTGATCCCTGGGCCTTAATGCTTTATAAGATTCGAATAATAACGATTTTTTTTTTCCAATTGACCATGAAAATTAGATCATCGGTCCTTCCTACGTAGTTGAAGGAATCACAAAATCGATTAATTATTCAAATTTTGTAATTCAATTGCCTTATCGTGTGATGTATCCAATATAATTATAATTTTAAAATTTCAGCTTTGTGAGTGAGCACATAGAGACACTTGAGGAGATTGATATGGAATACAAACATTTGGCTCTTGAATCCGGAATCGCTAATTGGGGTCGTGTGCCTGCTCTGAACTGCTCTTCTTCATTCATCACTGATCTCGCAGATGCAGTGATCGAAGCTCTGCCTTCAGCAATGGCAATGTCGACCTCAAATACTACATCTGAAGAAGTTGAAAACGATATATTTGGATACGTTGCCAAACTGTTCTTTGGTTCAATCTTTGCATTTGTTTTGCTCCTATCACCTAAAATGCTATTGGCCTTCAGGAACCATGTTTTGTAAACAAAACAGAGATCCTCAGTCGAAGTGCATTTTTTGTTTCTTGAGAGCAAGAGCCTGATATTGGTAGAGACCTTTTGAAATGTCATCTTTTGGAAAGGTACAAAACGCGTATTGTGTTTGAAAATTACTAAAAATTAACAGATAGATTCAAAATGAGGCACTGTTTTAATATTTATATATTCTTATATTTTGTTTGGACTTTTGATTAAGTTGCTTATCATATTAGATGTAATCATGTGTAGAAATATATTTGTAGAATTTAAAGTTTACAAATACATAAAGTTTTTACAATATTTTTATCAAGTAACTTATTGATTAAATCACAAACTTACTGATCAAACCTATTTGTTGGGTCAACGGGTCTTCAAGTATCATCGGTTTATATGACAGTGAGGTTATTGTCACGTTGTTCAATGAAATTTAAATGTATTTTTATGCGTTTCTAGATATTGGATAATGTGACGGAGATTTTGCAACCACATAGATCGATGATCATCTAGAACTTAGATGAATAACGTTAAATCAATATTAGGGCATCTCAAATATAACAACGTGCATACGAACATGTGACAAGTAAAATAGGGGTGACGAAAAGAGCATCTTCAACGGGATTGTGGATTGCACTAATTACAGACCCATGTGAAGAGAGGATGTAGAGAGAGAGAGTGGAGACGAATTATAAAAATTTAAATAGACGTATCATTCCATGAAATAAATGAAATTAAGTGGAGAATGTTTAACACACCCTTAAGGGGAGAAAAACTTCAATAAGATACAATTTTATATGCACGTGTGGTGGGATTGATTATTTACATCATGAAGTCACATTTAAATCATGACACCTCGATATCTATGATTTTATATGCACAGGTGGTGGGATTGATTATTTACATCATGAAGCCACATTCAAATCATGACACCTCGACATTTCATACATAGATATCGAGGTGTCATATTTTGAATTGTTTGAAAATTGAGATATTATGATTTAAATGATCGATTCTCCAAAGGCGGAAGATCGGCTAAACACACTACAATTTTTTCCTAGTCAAGTAAACATTAAGAGGTAATGTGGCATACCTTCACTGTAATCAATCAATCGATTGACGCACAAGCAACACTTAAAATCCATTTAATTCTATTTGAATTAAATTTTAATAATGTTACTCATTTTGAGCCTAGATGATCCTTAGTCTACGGGACTAATGACCAACCTTTGGTCAGATAATGGCCATTTTGGATGCAACAATTTTTTTCACGTAAGATAATTTATTTGCAGAATGAATTAGGGCTATAGCATGCATGGCTAAAGCTTAAACAAAAGTTCCAAACTCGCTTGCACGTTACTTTTCAATAATGAAAAAACAAAAAATAAGTCCCCTTATCAAAATAAATCTCGAGTTGAAATTAGCTACTTATTTCCATTTTTAATTATTTATTATAAACTTGTAAATAATATAAGCAAACATTTAAGCTTGGGTAAACATGCTTACAAGTGCTGCAGCCGATAACTTAAAACAAAACATAGAGAAATTCTCTTAATAGAACAATGCATTAGGATTTTTGGAAGAAATAAAGCATAAATCCATAATCAACAAAGTAAAACAGCAAAACCAAAACCGACACCTGATGCTAACCTAAATTAGACCTAAAACATGCACCAGCACTTGCAAGACCAAGGCAGAAATACAAAGACAACTCAACTGGACGGCGAGGCTTTCGCCGCCCCACTAGGCAGCACAGTTTGAGAAGGTGGAGTTGCATCATAACTCTCATGGGCACTGGCGCCAGAGTTGCCATCAGAAGAGTAAGCTGGCAGTTGGGAATATCCACTGCCATAACTGTTATAGGCTGGTGGCTGAGGTGGTGCTCCATAAGGTGGTGGACCATACCCTGGCTGCGATGTCGGATAACTGGTTGTTGGAGGCTGAGAATGAGGATATCCAGGTTGTGCATAGCCTCCTTGGGCGCTAGGCGACTGCTGCGGCTGCCCATAAGTTGGCTGACTGGTTGGAGGTTTTTGATCATGGGTCGGTCCATGAGTTGGGCCATAACCAGCTGATGATTGCATTGCGTAACCACCTTGCGAAGTCGGTGGCACCCCATAACCAGGCTGGGTTGATCCTTGAATTGCATAATTGTGATTAGGGCTATGCTGACCACCAGCATTGTATGCCTGATCGGTTGCAGGCGCTTGCCTGGCATCACCCTGGGTTCCATATGCATCTGTCTGCCCATCAGGGGGGGCTGTGTTAGAGGTGTTACCACAGGTAGAGTTATAACCTTGTTGCAGCTGATCATAGCCCGGAACTGGATTTGGCTGGGGCTGACCATAACCAGATTGAGGCACTGGCATGTTATATCCACCATAGCTATCTTGGGGATAACCTTGTCCTTGACTGTAGGCCGGTGGTTGATGGTAACCATAAGCAGAACCATCAGTCGGAGCACCAGTACCTCCATGAGTTAGCATCTGTGGAGGCTGCTGCTGGCTATAGTAATCATAGCCACCACCCTGAGCAGTCTGCTGATTTTCTGGAGCAGTTGTTTGGTCCCAGCCAGTGGCATATCCACCAGAGGTGGATTGAGGAGGATAACCAGTGTAAGGTGGTTGGTTCGTGTTGTATTGAGGTGGACCAGGGTATGCACCAGGCTGAGCATAACCATATCCAGGTTGCTGCATTGATGGATCAGGCTGTGCCCAGTTCGTTGGAGGTCGAGTTTGGTAACCTTGCTGAGGATATCCTCCAGTCATTGCTTGATTTCGACTACGATTCTACATAAAATTCTCAAATTAATCAAGAAAAAATGAACCCATCATAATGGAAAAGATATACGGTAGGTAAAGCATAACAAAACAGAACAGAAAGCCCCAAAAAAAGTGAAAAAAGTTGCACAATAACAATATATCCAAAGCTGTTATGCTAAGCACGATTCATATAGCAGAGTTGAATCTAGTCAAGATCAGATGCCTACATACCATACTGGTTGGGTTGTATTATTGAGTTACTCCTGCAGAAGCCCATCCTCTCCCTATTTGAAGTGAATGGGGTACAAAAAAAAAATTGCAAAAGCTAAACAAGTTCTACGATTCTAGAAACAAAATTAAATGCCTTTTGGCAAAATGAGGAAGCATATGGAAAAGTGCTAGAAACTAAAATCAACAAGACGAAAAATCAATAGTGCAGGTAAATTATCTGATAAGAAATTAACAGCATTGAACATTGTAAGATATAATGTAGCTCTTATTCTAGGCTCTTGCTGAAGCTTTCATTAATTCGTATCAATAAGTTGACTCAAATAAACTTGCATTCATCGCATCGAATTAACTAAACAAGTTTTTGAGAAAGACCACCTAAAACATCGTTATCAAGGTCAGTCTTCCCCCCCTTCCCCGAAACGAAAGCCTCAATGCCCTTACCCACCTCACCTGCTTCAACATCTAAGTTTTCGCCATGACCACCTAAAACATCGTTATCAAGGTCAGTCTTCCACCACTTCCCCGAAACAAAAGCCTCAATGCCAATGTATGTGATATTCTGCATCTTCTAATATCCTATCTAGCAGGTTAGGTATACTCAACCAGTAAATATATAAACCATATATAATATCCTGGTTTAGACACTACATTTTAGTAAAATCTCTCCATTCAATCTTCAAATTATACTCTTTCCTATTCCATAAATAGAAGGTCCCCGTACTTTCTCCAAGATATCTGGGCAGTTTAAGAAAATAATGTTCAGAACCATATAAGAAAAAAATGCCGAGGAAACACCAACATTAAGCACCTGTTTGACAACCATTATTTGAAAGTTCTTTTTTCTACATTCTCATTTTCAACAACACATTCAGATAATAAAATATTTTGCACGTAAACCCAAAATTTTTCACTACTTTTTAACCGCACATTCTCCTACAAATCACTATTCAAAACATTGTTTTTGAGAAGAAATGGCCTAAAAAGCAGCAACACGGACACGAGTGTCCGACTCGATACGTGTAGGACACATCGACACGTGATTTTTTAAAAATGTTCAACACGATACGTTGATTAAAATATTATTAGTTTTTATTTTTTAAATTTAATAGTCTAAATTAAATATTTGGGGGTGTAATCCATTTGGTAAAGCACTGTGTGTACATCTAGCATATCCCTAAAAAATTTGATCCACATAAAAATTAACTTTTTGCTGTGTTGAAAGGTAAAGTTGTAAAAAAAATTCTAACTACCTACTAGAAAAAGATATTTTACATAGCATTTAATGTTTGGTCAATTGGGCCCAAATATTTGAACTAAAAATTAGGTTTAGCTTTTTAGGTCAGCGTCACTTCTTTTCTTCCTCACTTCATTTTTTTCTTTTCTTCCTTTCTTCTCAAATTCGGTCACTGTCTTCTTTTCTTCCTTTCTTTTTTTCTTCCTTTCTTCTCAAAGTCAGCCTTCTCTTCTTCCGGCTGTGTTTCTGTTTTCTTCAAGCCCTTCCAGCCTTGTTTTCTTCAATCTGTCTGTTTTAATTTGTCTCCGACATACCGCAAGGGCTCCGACACGAGTTGGCAACGTGTCAGAGACGAACCGGTGTCCAACACGTATCGGACACCGATACGTCGCCGCCGGCAGCGTGTCCGTGCTTCACAGGAAATGGCCATCAAACAAGGGCTAAATGGTTCCATGTAGGTGTCATTAATTGTCTAATACTCTCCAACCCCAAAGCAGTTTCCAATAACAGTATCAGTTATCAGATGCAAAATTAAACGAGACAGTCCATTAAGTGGCAACCTCAGTCCCGAAAATTATTAACGTAACCATTAACTAAGAATGTCAGTAATACTTAATGTCGTATACATATCCTGAACTCTATAAGAAATTTTTTATACTTCCTTGTTACCTCAGGGAAGATGGCTCATGCAAACCTGCCTAGTAAAAAACCAAATATACAAAATCGAAAAATAAATAAAAAGATAAAGGTAATATCTCAAAAGACCGATCCTCAGTGCTTGTAATC